AAAAAAAAAAAAACACACTATTAATTCAATTATTAACTTTCACCCACCAAAATATTTTGAGAAAAATGTTATAAGTACATAATATTATATATAGGGGTGTACATAACACTCATATTGAGAAAATGCTACAGTACATAATATTATGTTTGGTAAAATTAGCTGATAGCTTATAAGATAGCTTATAGTATGTTTGGTAGACCAATAAGTTAGCTTATAGCTTATTTGATTAGCTTATAAGCTCCCTGTATAAATTTGATAAGCTAGCTGAAATAAAAATTTCAACGAGCTTATTAGCTACCAAAAGAAGCTTATCAAATAAGCTCGAGCTTTTTAAATAAGCTCGTCCTACCAAACGGAGCTTATTTAAATACATGGAGCTTATAAGCTAATCAAATAAGCTATAAGCTAACTTATTGGTCTACCAAACATAGCCTTATATCTACATTTGCCCATATGCCTGGTGAAAAATAAAAAAAAATATGGGAAAAGCACGGTCTTTTGCTCTTTTAGTTAGATGGTTTAGGCTATGTTTGGTAAAACTAGCTGATAAGCTAGCTTATAACTTATATATAATTTTTGAGCTTATAGCTTATAGCTTATGACTTATAACTGAAAAGCTAACTTATATGATAAAAGATGTTTGATAAATTAGCTGATAAGCTAGCTGAAATAAAAAATTTAACTAGTTTATTTGAAAAGTTACCTAAAATAGCTTATGAAATAAACTCGAGTTTTTTAAAAAAACTTGTCCTACCAAACGAGGCTTATTTTAAACATGGAGCTAATAAGCTAACCAAATAAACTATAAGCTAGCTTATTTAGCTTATCAAACATACCCATAAGCTCCGTTTGGTAGGACGAGCTTATTTGATAAGCTTCTTTTGGTAGCTTTTCAAATAAGTTTGTTGAAATTTTTATTGCAGCTAGTTTATTAGATAATTTTATCAAACACTTTTATCATATAAGCTAGCTTTTCAACTATAAGTCATAAACTATAAGCTATAAGCTTGAAAATTACTAATAAGCTATATAAGCTCGAAAATTACTAAGGCTATGGTTGGTAGAACTAGCTGATAAGTTAGTTTATACGATAATTGTTTGGTAAACTTAGTTGATAAGCTAGTTGAAATAAAAATTTCAACGAGCTTATTTGAAAAGTTACCAAAAGAAACTTATCAAATAAGCTTGAAATTTTTAAATAAGTTTATCCTACCAAACGAAGCTTATTTAAATATATGGAGCTTATAAGTCAATCAAATAAGTTATAAGCTAACTTATTAGTGTACCAAACATAGAATATATATAAGAATGTACATAACACTCACATTGAATTGAACCCAACCAACCAAAAATCAAAACTCTACGTGGCGTTCCTATCTCTAAAAGAACTTCGTTTTTAAAACTCCAGTGAACTTCGAGCTGACAGCGTAATTGTTGAAAGGAAAATTAGTATGCACCTTGACACTTAACGAAATAAACAGATAAACAACTCAAGTGAACACCGTAACGTACTGATAAGAAAGCTCCACTAAACCATATCCAAAGAGAATCCAAAAACTAAAAACACATCACCCAGCAAAATGCGCATATAAGTAATAAGAGTAAGCCTGCTAAAATGTAACTATTACAAACTAGACATAAATATACTCTTAAAAACACAGAGTACTCCCTTCCTTTTCCTTCTGAAGAGTCTCTAAAGGGCGCCATCAACCAACAAACACAGAGTCGAGTCGAACATTTTCGCGAGGAATATACACGGCACACGAACAGAACAAACACATCACCTAAACTTGGGCCGCTTGGCGGCAGCAGAGCTGCCCGGCCCAGCCCGTCCCTTTCCTGCAGCCTTCATCTTCCTCCTCCTCCTCTCATCCTCGCTATCCGACTCGTTCCCTTTCTCTCTATCAGCATTGCTGGCCTCCCTCTCGAGCTCCTCCCACGTCTTCCCTTGCTCCTCGTCCGACGAATCCTCTTCCTCCTTGTCATCCTCCGACTCCACG